CTCTTCGGGGACTGTTGTACGAAAACCTTCGCGCTGTAAGCCAAGAAATTTGCATTAAATACATTCCCCGAACGTGGTAACACCCGACCACTGATGCAACCAGGCAGCACAAAACGTATGAGATACGCGTGAATTATGGGCCATCTGCCCATCTGTTCCAAAAACGTACAGGAAACGGGTGCAACGTCTTCATCAGTCGGCGCATCAACATGCGACCGAATCCTTGCCGTGGATGTAAAGAATACACAGACGTGATCAGGATGTATTATGCTTGGCACTGTTTGCGAATATTCTGCTTCCATACGCGCAGCTTTACCACACATGTTATGTCGATCATGTTAAATGTTGATACAATCAGGGGGCGCACCAACTCAACAGCACGTGACGTAGACGCCGGAATATTGTCCTCTCGAAAAGTGGCAACAGGCTAATCTATGGCCCATGGGGCGGCTCAATAAGCCAAGACAGTGGGAATGTTTGACTCCTGTCTTTGGCATACCAAATCATGACCAATGATCGGGGCCATCAAGCAGTAAGCTGAACACACCAGCCAACAATCGAACGGCCAGAGATAACTACGGCCACGGTCATCTGGTAAACGAGCGTGACGTCACAACATCACGTGATAAAAAACAACCATACATGTGCGTGGCAATCCACCGCTGCTATCACATACACCAATCAGACATTGTTCAATGAGCTCTGTGGCAGACATTGCCGCCACCTGGGCAGAGTGCAGCGCGGTTATCGGACAGGCCTGTTACGGTTATAGGACGAACCGGATCACTCTGGCTCCGAGGGTACCCTAAACGTGGCCAGGCGGCGGAGCGAGGACCACCGGGCGGACCAGTCCAGCGGAGGAGTGCTGTTCAGTCAGGCAGCGAGGGAGAAAGCGCCACGAGTCCGGCGATGACCGTAGATCACGCGTCCAGCGTTCTGCGTCGTCGACCCCCATACGTCACACCGGCTGGTGATTAATGGCCCGCGTCACAACTGCCTGGTGATTAGTGGCATGCGTCACAACTGTCGCGGCGGAGAGCGGCCACTTTTCAGCGACGACGCCGCGCCTACGCAATATCCATTAAATAATGCGAAGCCATATTTTCCCCGTTATGTCGGCCCATAACGATAAACGTCCAACGGATTAGCCGCGCTCCAGCTGGCCCCAAGTTGTGCGGAAGACCGCCCCCGTCGCAGTTAAACCGTCGCGAATTCAGCAGCGCCGCTGAGGTCGGTCGGACCCGTCGGAGCCGAGCTGGGTCTCTCGCGATGGGACCGCAAAGGCACAGGCGCAGCGACACTGCGTCGCCAGGTCAATTCTGGACGGACTCCACCCACTGAGCGCGCCGCCGTTTGAGCGAGGTCGACCGGAGCCCAAGCGAGATTTGGGCGAGATCCAGCGCTGTGGAGCCGGCCTTCACAGCCACTCGGCACTGGGATGAGGGGCTCCACGAACGCGCGCGTCCGCCTGGAGGGTTTGCAAGAGCTCTTGGCCGCGAACCGGGACTCCCCAGTCACGAATAGAATGCGAGTGTAAATAAGCGCCAGCATGGAGCGGCCACTGCAGGGCCGATTTGGCCAGAAGTCGGGCCGAGCTACTGACAAGGTTACAGAGCCTGCCTAACGCAGTTGGGATGCGAAGTCGACGTGAACATAACGCCCCTCGAGCAGTCAAGCCTCACGTGTCAACAATCTGACTGGCAGCTATCGTCCAGCATCGCCATCACAAATAAAGGGCTTGGTTACGACGGTATCTGTGCGATGTAGCGTTACGGAAGAGCACAACCAAGTCATTAGTGAGGAGAAGAAGAAAATCACGCACGAGTACCGAACAAAAACTCTTCTTTAACAAGCAGTTAAGGGCCCTTAACACATCGTCAGGCGAAGCAAAAACACCGCTCATTCGTCAAAAATCACCATCAACTGACTGTGGTTTGATCCGTAACAATGTGATAATCAAGACGAGGCCGCTGATGAGCATCACCAGCAGGCCCTGCAGCGTCAAAGATCCATGGCATCCGCCCCACATGTGGAGGTGGAAGGAGCAGAATCGTGAAGGGTGGTTTTGACATGAACTCATCACTACATTCATGAATGGGGATCGAACATATTTCGCGACCCCCGCCTTTGGGTTTGTGTGTCAAGTCTCGACATTCTCCCCACCCACGCCAGTGGCCACATGGCACGCGCTGGCCGCACGCCAGTGGCATATGGAGGCGCGTGGCCCGCGCGCCAGTGGCACATGGAGCGCGGTTGGCCCGCACCGCCAGTGGCACATGCAGCGCTTGGCCCACACGTCCAGTGGACTATGGACGCGCTGGCGCGCACGCCAGTGGCACATGGAGCGCGTCCGTTGGCCCGCAACGCCAGTTGGACACTGGAGCGCGCTAGTGACAATCCATCCATCCGTCGTCTGACAACAACTTGCCGTGCCATCCACATACTATCAGGCACGTGAATAACAGTCGGAATGGTCTATCTCTAGTGTTATGTACGCATTATGATATTGCAATGCTATTGAAAACCATACAATCTCTCCCGCACCGCAGCCCTGGCGGAGTAACGCACGCTCCCTACCTCAAAACATGCAGCTCGCATTCCAAACAATTTGTCAAGCAAACTATTTAAATAGAACATTAACCATTTTGTGCGACGGTTATGGCCTTACGCGGCGCCATCTAGCGCCGTGCACATCATCACAAAAAACTGCGGTTCCCATTGGCCGTCACCTCCGTCAGTGAGCCGCGCCGCCACCGCCGGTTTGTACGTGTACATATGCCCATCGCCTGCCCGGCGGGCACTGCCCATTCTGCCCGGTCGGCCGCGCAGACTGGGGTCACGACTGGCACCGTCACCGAACACCCTCCCCCCCCCCCACACTTGCTGTACCAGCTGCTGTGTAGTCCGAGATGGCGACTCAGGGGAAACATGACAGCAGTGGTTGAAGGCCCTGCGTTGCCTCAATATGCAGGCGCCGTGAGCGCAGCCCGTGCGCAAGCTCGTCTGAATCGCTCTCGTTATGCAAGCTTGCCCTGGCAAGCATAGCCCAAGGTTACGCGCGGGGAAGGAGCAGGTGTCAAAGAAGAGGATCACGCACATGGTGCGTACTCTCCCCGACCGCAACGTCAGCCCACACCCCCCTCCACGCCGACAGCGGTTCACGGCGCCCCGGCTCTGGGGCGGTGTGCCGGTCCAAGGTGGCGCGGAACAGTCCTCGTCCTTCCCCGCATAGCAGCCCGACACGCCGTGGCACCGCGGCCGGCCGGTCCCTCACACAGCCGTGTCGAGCGTGTTGATGCGCACCTTCTTGCCGCGCCCGGCCGACGGCGACGAAGGCGCCGGGTTGCGGATGATCATGACGCCCGAGTCGATCGACTCTTCCGGGCTGTCGCTAGGCCTGCGCCGCTTCTTCTTGAGGCTGGAGCGCAGCGGCGACTTGCGCGGATCGTACGGGATCGGCCGGCCGTTGTAGCTGGAGGTGGGCGTGGGCGCCGGCGCGGCCGCGCCCGCGTTGGCCGGCGCCCGCCGCGCGTGCACCACGCCCGGCTGCGGCGCCACAATCACCGTCACGCCGTTGGCCGTGGGTGAGGCGATGCGCCCCTCACGCGCCGCCGGGTTGACCAGCACGGGCGCCAGCCGGCCGTCCGGGTCGCGCGCCATCTGGACGGGGTCGCCGCCCAGCCGACGCGCGAGCACGAACTCGGCGGCGGCGAAGCCGCACAGCGCCAGCGCCAGCAGCACGTACAGCACCTGCGGCAGCGGACAGCGACCGTCAGCGGCGCCAGCGGCTCCGGGCCGGCGCTCGGTCGATATGGCCGTCACCAGCGGAACGACATCTGCGATATGGGCGGATGAGCTGGCACGCGTGGCGGCAGCGGTAATGAGGTGAAGACTGAAGGGTGCGGCAGCGCTACAGCAGCTGCAGCTCAACATCGAGCCGGCTCGTAAGGCAGGGCCGTTGTCCCGGTGGGAAGGCGCTGCAGCAGCTACAGCTCAACATCGAGACGGCTCGTATGGCAGGGCTACTGTCCCAGTGGGAAGGCGCTGCAGCAGCTACAGCTCAACATCGAGCCGACTGGTATGACAGGGCTGTTGTCCCGGTGGGAAGGCGCTGCAGCAGCTACAGCTCAACATCCAGTCGGCTCGTGTGGTAGGGCTGTTGTCTCGGTGGGAAGGCGTTGCAGCAGCTACAGCTCAACATCGAGCCGGTCCGTATGGCAGGGCTGTTGTCCCGGTGGGAAGGCGCTGCATTTTTCAGATGATATTGAAAGCGCGCTGGATCAATCAACACGGCAAGGCTGACGCCAAAAGTGATCCAGATGTATTGAGCATTTTTGTCGAAAGTAATCCAAGCGTAATGATTGTTTACACGATTTTACAGGTGCACGACTTTGACGGCGTGCACGGGTTGGATTCTTCGTGAGCGGAATTTGTAACGACGACCAATCAAAGTCCGATAGCAGCCGTGGACGAACACAAGGCGTTGCAAAATTGCTATCGCTCGCTCAAAACATATTATTTGACTTCAGCGCAGATCAGCTGCTATGGATTGGACTTCAAAACGTACTTGTCCGTTTGCTGAAAAACATAGCTGTGTACTCTGCAAACGCACCAGTCAAGAGCGACGTCTTTCTGTGCCGCAAACGAGAATCGGCGATGATGCGGTCCCCGTTGAATATTTCCTCAGGCAGATTGTCGCTGAATATGCCGATCAACTACCAACGCCCTTCACTGACGGCTTGTAGTATTTTCCGTATAGAAGTTAGCAAAGATTCACAAGAAAAGCACTGAGACGTTCTGATGATGTTATCATCCAAGTCACGTAGCGTGTATTCGTGGTGACGCAGGTGCAGCCCTGATAAATAATTGACAGTTGAAATCAGCTCAGTCGAGCGGAAATGAAGCAAACATGCTGAACTGGCTGGATCTCCAGGAGTGAAAGGCTTTTGTCATTCAAACCAGGTTCCCATACACCCAACGAACATTTGAATCCTGATGATAAAACATTTAAATTAGGAGCGTTCCTTGGAGGGGCTGAGCGTACGAAGAACCTTACTTTGCAATCATGTTACAAGCGATGAAGGAAATCATTTATTGATCATCGACCAATGTCACACCCGAAATATCGTCATTGCAGCGCTGTCCTCGACAGTAACGATATGAACTTCAACAAAATACCGCGAGGTAGTCCTCGTGCCTGCTAGAGCCCATGGCAGGGCTAAATATTTCGCAGGATAATCAGACCGTAAAAATGAGACTCTCAAAAAAAGGATGTGCGATATGGACCGGCAGTGTGCCAAGGTGTCCAACATATTTAATTCAACGGCCATTTCGGCACATGGGTTGGGTTTCCTGAACTGCTGAATGATATTACTCATGGCGATATTGACCAGATACAGCAAGGCATTTCCTCTTCACTCATTCAATTTGTTTTTCATTAGCAGCCCTCAGTGTTTTAATAGCACCTCCAGTCACTCGCAAAGCGAGCAGCAGCAGCCCACAGCAACCACGCACTCAAACACCACGATGTTCATGGATGTGCAGTTTAATTGCCGATGCACATCAAACCTAAATTATAGCGCATTTTACCCTGCCAAGGAACCAAGAAAAACAAATAAATGACTATGAATGATAACGACCAGGAAATGATATCATTAATGCTAGGAGCAGATGGGCAACACAAAATATGGCACCGTAAACAGCTTTATCTTAAGTGTGACCATTGACATGACAATAAAATGCCTAGGAAGCGAACAATCTAAGTGCGGTTAGCGTGTTCGGTGTGCGCTGAGCCCACTGCCCCGCATCATGAGGTACAAATAACTCACTACCCCGCACCATGAAGGGCACAGAGCTCCCTAACCCGCGTCATGACGAACACTGAGTCCGCTACCCCGCACCATGAGGTACACAGAGCTCACTACCTCTCACCATGAAGGGCACAGGGCTCGCAATCCCGCGTCATGGAGCACACTGAGTCCGCTACCCAGCACCATGATGTACACAGAGCTCACTACCCTGCACCACGAAGCACACAGAGTCCGCTATCCCGCACCATGAGGTACACAGAGCTCGCTACGCCGTGTCATGGGGCACACTGAGAACGCCACCCGGCATCATGAGGTACACAGAACTCGCTACCCCGCATCATGAGGTACACAGAGTCCGCTACCCCACACCAGGAGGTATACTGAGCCCACTATCCCCAACATGAAGTACACAAAAGGCTGTCCGAGTCAACGGCATGAGCGTGGGTGCGACGACACAAGATAAAGCGCAGCCCAAAGGATCCAGCTCAAATGCCACCTGGCACGGCGGCCGCCACGCCCTCTCCACAGGCTGTAGCTGGAATGTAACTGAGTCTGGTAATGTAACGTCGGTAAAAAGGTAAATGTAACGTCGGGCCTGTCAGCCCGACGCATTGTCGAAGCAGCGAACACAACGTACCAGCAGCTTTTCAGCTTGGTCGTAGACGGAACACGAAAACCTGCGCATCAGGCTTTTGCAGTTTTTTAAAATGCAAACATATGCAGAAGTACGCATGAAAAAGGCCGATTTCAGGCGTGTATAGACTTTGCGTGCTTGTTTTGCTGTTTTTTATGCTGAATATTAAGATGTCAGCCTATCCATTTCCTCCTTTTTGTAGGATCGCACCAGTAATCCGAAAGTCGCGGGTAGGCAACAACCATACACACGCAGCAAGCCCATGGGTATCCAGTTAGCTAGGGAGAGCCTGGCATGAGATGCCTCCTCAGCTGATTCCTCAATTTGGCGTCTGGACAGGGACTTGCATGGCTTGAAGCACAGACATGCCAGTGTTTCGTAAAATTAATAAGAGAGGGGAGAGGGAGCACATTAAAAAAGTGACATTGCCGCAGCGTGTCATCAAATACAAGCAGTTCGTGCAGACCGTGAATGAGTCCTTACAATGAGGTATGACTGCTATTCCGTTCTCAATGAGTGCTCACCATGATATAGAAGGACCAGGAGTAATAGACGAAGAAGCCCAGGTTCTCCCCCAGTCTCCTGGCTCTCACTTCAATATCGAAGAGCACTATGCATAGCACGCAGCAGGCGGCTGAAACCAAACAGGCACATTAGCATCAAATGTTGCGCAATTGCTCGCACGGGTCGACAATGAAGGAAACCAGCCCCTTCGCCTGGGCTGCGTTTGACGTCAGGGCAAGGAAAGAGAACGCAAAACAGTGCCACAAAACCACGGATTCGCGTGCACAGGGCACTAATTTGGCGTGCCCTGGCTGAGTCCCATATTGTCGAGGGGGATCTTGGGACGACAAAGATTGCATTTCTTGGCAGGAATGCGACAGACGGGGTGCCGGTAGTGTAGTGGTTAACACGTCTGCGTTAAACACTGCGCGTCTGGGAAACCAGAGGAGCGGGGTTCGGTTCTCCGCGGTGCCCGCCCCTCCTGCCAGGGTGAGAGGCAGGCGACGCCATGTAGCCTCAGCAGCTGAGTGCGTCGTAAAGCCCCAATCACACACACACACACACACACACACACACACCACACAACACACACCACACACACACACACACACACACACACACACACACACACACACACACACACACACACACACACACACACACACACACACACACACACACACACACACACACACACACGCACGCGCGCGCACGCACGCACGCACAATGCGACAGGCGGCATCACACACCCATTCAGAGGTCACACCAGCTACTGCAGTGATCACATTGGCGCACAAGAGCCGTGGCGAAACCAGGACTCTTAGCGCGGGCCCTCATATGGGAGCAACAGGTCTGAACCACTCAGCCATTTCGTCATCGGCGCAGGTCTGAAACCAAACATTCTAGCAGAGCTAGAATTATGTAGATAAAGGTATAAAAAGGAGCTTGTCAAAAATGACGAGACATCTTGGCACAACGCAGCAAAAACCGAAAATGTTACAGCTAGTGTTCTTAGCAAAAATACTCCATAAACTCCTTTGGTCAAGCCCAAACCTGGCTTTCGCCAGCTGAATCGGTGGCACTGCTTGCTTAGCGACAGCAATGTTAAATTTTAAACGTAACGAGTACGGGACGTTGGGGATAGACTGATGCATGGTCGTAAAACACTTCAGTGCATCCAATTTGCTTCAGTCTAACACACTCTTAACAACTGCACGGCCAATTTCCATCTATGATGAACTGGCACATTCCAACGCTTCGAAGAGCTCTGTTGGGACCCATATCTGGTCATAAACAAGGGACTTCACCAGCTAAGATGCCCAGCCTCCATTTTCATAGAGGAACTTTCAGTCAAGAGCCGGTTGCATGATTCCGCCAATCACCTCCCGCGTCAAAGGCATTCATTAACAGGAAAACGCCACCTCGAGTCACAGGCCCTGAAAATCAGGCTGTCGATAAGCGCGACCCGGTTTTTAATCTAATTGTCCTAACGAGGAACGAGCTGGCAGGCAAACATTCGGGCGGAAAATGGGATTATGTTCAGCACAGCCATGATGCTGGAATTGCAGATACAGTTACGACTTTGATGCCGGTAGCTTCTGACAGTACGAAGGTGTATAAGCGGCCGCCTAAATATCGCCCACGGAGTAGGCGGTGCAACCATCTAGGCGCAGCGCAGTTTGAGAACCAGCGTACCACAATTGAGGCCACGTCCGAAAAGAAAATCGCAAATTTGTACGCATGCGCATTGCGCTCCGCAGGAGTGAAGTGCTGGTCGTCTTGCTCATTCGGCACGTCCGCTGACTGTTAATCGCTCACAAACCGAAGGAGTGGACAACACGTTCCATACTTGCCCCAACCTATGTATCCGGTACGAGTTAAACGTGTCCGTATATACATGTTCGTTTTAAGGGGCGGACTCGCCATCCGGGAGCCGCTGAGTGGACTCCATGCCTTGCTCCACACTGATGCCATGCTTGGTCAGTGGTTATCGCCAGCGGCCACGGTTCGGCAGTAGGCTGCGGCTACGACACACGCTCAGCGCGCGCTACTAGGGTACCATGGCAAGATTTAACCGTATGGGTCCTAAAGTGGATGCATTGTAAACAAAATTGATCCTTGCCATTGCGTGCAACGTCAGACCTGAATAGCGATACTATACCATATGATGACGTTCATGACCCATTGGGTTGGCTTGGCTTGGCTCGTGATATGCTGCACCACCCTGATAATGAATACGTGATTCTCGGACATAGCTTGCTGTGTAAAAGCACGCACGGTTTATAAATAAACACTGACGTCATACAAAATATTTCGGTTGCATTATGTTTATACATTATCATATTTTACGATATATTTAGATACGATATATTTTTGTGATATATTATTTATTTCATGATGAATCTATATTATCATACTTTTATCACATTTAGCTGTGCATTTATTTCAAAACGGTTGTGCAGATCACTCACGAGACGTGCTGACCGAAGGGGAGTACCGAGAGGAAAAGGGTGCGCTAAAAAGACAGCATGTGCACCCAAGCGCGGCTAGAGCTGCCCGACTGGTGTCGCCTTTCAAGCGTATACACCTGCCCATACACACACAACACAACACACACACAGAGCACACGCTTATGCACATTTGTCCGCGAAAATGCTGAAATGATGGTGCAGAAAGTGAGAGGGCTTTCGATATCAGATGGAGCTTCAGATGGCACATCAGAGGGCTTCAGATATCAGATGGGGCTTCAGATGGAACATCAGAGGGCTTTCGATATCAGATGGGGCTTCAGATGGAACATCAGGGAGCTTTCGATATCAGATAGGGCTGCAGATGGAACATCAGAGAGCTTTCGATATCAAATGGGGCTTCAGATGGAACATTAGAGGGCTTCTGATATCAGATGGGGCTTCAGATGGAACATCAGAGGGCTTCCGGTGTACGTTTGTTACAAAACACTCCACCGACCTCCACCAGTACATCTGGGAATGTCGTTCATGAGTGTGTCGTTTTGGCTCCCCTCGTACGTGAGAGAATGTCATTTCATCAGTGTTGTATCCCCTATCTGTGTGGTCTAGAAAATGTATGGACAACATCGTCAATGAGTCACACAGACAAAGAACATGACACCGATAAAATCACGTGGGGGATAGGGTCACTGGCATGTGGTATTGTAGATTGTCATGTTGATGGCGTAGGTCAGAGTGCGTGATGCTGATGGTGTCTTCTGCCCGGCCATAAGAATATCTGTTTTGCCAAGTCAAAACAGTGAATTATCCAATGAGAAGTCCATTGTTGTTTGCATGCTGGTGTTCAATGCTCTGATTTTAAGTACGTCGGTTGCCGAATGAAATAGGAAACCAGATGCTGATGTTGAGAATGGGTACACAACGTATCCAAAACGGTAAAGCGCAAACAAATGAGAAGATGCCTTTTCATGTCTCTTCATGCTCCTTTTTGGTTAACTACTCTTAACAGACGGTGTCAAAAGTACAGTTCAAAGGGAGTTTTAACGGAAGCTATCCAAAGCACAAAATGTCGTACTCTTTAATGAATTATGCGTAAGCATACGTATTATATATATATATATATATATATATATATATATATATATATATATATGACAGAACAATTTCCTTCCTCACCATTTAAAAACCTTAATTATCTCTTAATTCACCTTGGCCGTGTTCTAAATAGGTTACTGAGTGCATAGAACGCACAATTCCAGACCACTGCGGACAGCGTATTTGTTAGCGCAACTCACTTCCTATGCAGCTGATCACCAGCTTGCCCATGATGGCGTGCCGGAACTTGACGACCACGCGGCGGCGGGTGACGCGCATCGCCAGCACCATCGGCGACATGACGCACATCAGGGCCGTCACCAGCACGGCCAGCACGCCGCACGCGCCAGCCGCCGTCGTGTACTCTGCAACAGCGGCCGGCCAGCCGCCGGGCTCCGGTTACTAATGGCGGGGCTGCGCCGCCGGCTCGAACGGCGCCACCGGCCTCAGACGTCCGCCGACGGCACGGCCCGTCCCGCAGCCACCGACCGCCGACAATGGCATGGAAAAGGTCGCGCAGATGTGTCATAGTTCACGGGAGAGTGAGCAATGTAACGTGAACTTTTCGTGAACTATGAACTACGATATGAATGAAGTTGTGAACTTCAACACCTTGCATGTTTCCGAACCATTCCGCACGCAAAGGTTAATGGCTAGTTCGGGCATTGTATGGTGTTACACAAACAGCATAAAATGTCAACATGGCAAGCGATGAGAGCGTTCAGCACAGCAGCACTTTCGGCAACGGTGAGATGAAGGCCACCCGAGTCAGCACACGAGTCAGGTTTCCCCATAAATCGAGCCAGGCTCGGCCAGATCGCAATGGCCGTCGCCTGACAGCTTCAGGACAAGGCCATGCAATAAGAAGTCGTGCGGCATGCGTGGCATGGCGAGTGGAAAATGGAAAGCTTAAAGAGAGTGTTCTTTAAGAGAGTGCTCCGCATTTGTGAGGGGGTTTTGAACTGAAGTAGCCATCTTGAAAATCATTCGGTACAGTTCACAGCCCTGCCCTGCTTAAGACCTAAATCCCGCCAGTTTCAGAGTTACACGCCCGTGAATATGTGCAGAGTATTTCGGGGAGACTATTCAGAGGTTACTCAGGCATCCATGGTGTCATAATAACGCCGTTTAAGTTCTGCCGTTCCATTCGTCATGCGGCGATCAAGGCCAATACGAATATCATTATCGAGTTGTTCATATCTGGCGTCCGTGAGCACGATTTTCAGATATAACGGCTGTCAGTTGGTTCTCAATCAATATTGGTGTCTTGGGCAGTCTTTTCAACTTAAAACTGCACCAATGTTCATAAGTGAGTGTATTTTATCATATATGATGCTTGCTTCAATCTCTTAAAATGTGGAACATTTCCATTAAAGACTCCGATCACCTCTAGCAACGGTGCGAAGCGCTCTTGCTCTGCACTGCGAAGGCAGGGCGCTGAGCGGAAACGCCGCGGAAGGCGTGGCTTAAACGAGTCCAAGAAACGTCCGGCTGACGCGGTGGGTGAGCAGATCACGCGCACCGCGCCGCCGTAACCTCTCCAGCGGGGGTGACATGTTGTCCCCACACCCGTAACCTCTGCAGCGGGGGTGACATGTTATCCCCACACCGTACCTCTCCAGCGGGGGTGACATGTTTATCCCCACACCGTAACCTCTGCAGCGGGGGGTGACATGTTGTCCCCACACCGTAACCCTCTGCAGCGGGGATGGTATGTTGTCTCCACACCGTAATCTCTGCAGCGGGGGTGATATGTTGTCCTCACACCGTAACCTCTGCAGCGGGGGTGACAATGTTGTCCCCACACCGTAACCTCTCAAGCGGGGTGACATGTTGTCCCCACACCGTAACCTCTCCAGCGGGGGTGACATGTTGCCCCCACACCGTAACCTCTGCAGCGGGAGTGACATGCTGTCCCCATTTCGTTCGCGGGGCGACCTCGAGCGCAAAGTCCATCTTTTTTGACCCAGCTGGTCCCGCCCAGAGCAGACACTCACTGCGCGATGTGAAGAGATATATGAGGTCGGATGAGCAGTTTACGAGCGGGAGTGTGAGGGGGTGACAAATCCCCCGACAAAGGCAAGACTCCATTTGATGAGCTTATTCCGGTATGTCCTATTCACAAGAATTCAGCCGATGGAGAGTCCCAGCGGCTCGGCGGATGATGATGTGAGAGGACGATAAGTGACGGGAAAAGGTGAGGTGTAGGGATGAGGCTTCAGTCAGAGTATCGGGGGTATAAATAGCCCTAGTGGTGCTCACCTTCAACTTCATGTTGTTGGTGACCGTAATCTTAGCTCTACATTGGAAGGGGACGACAGCTGTGCTCTCCACAGGCTGTGATTTCAGAATGAACAGATGGCCACTGTAAGCCTAGTCCAGACGTTGGACAGCATCGACGCAGAACACCGAACGGCCTCGCGGCCATGGGTAGAGAATGTGGTTTGGCAGGGTGTGGGCGGATAGTGGCTGCACCAACTTCAAAGTTCAAAGTTGAACTCCCGGCTCAGGCACGCCAACTTCTGGGAAGCATGTCAGTTAAGCCAGCTGATAAAAGGCTGATGGGATCCACCAAGCCTTATGAATTCATGGCTCGAAGAAACTAGCAGGAAATTGAAATTAAGCTGAGTACGCGTTGAACCCATCACATGACAGTTTCACCTCCACAAATGCATGGCATCTTGCTACAAACGGGCAGTCAGACGAGAAGAGTTGCGGGACGTGAGAAACGGTGTACAAACCAGCGCAGTACCTGATCTCCCGACCATTTTATAATCCTTTGAAAGTCAAAGATCCATGCGGCTGGCTTACGTCCCTTCACCGTCTTGTGCTCCCTGGTTTTGTTGAGGCCGCTAAATCCAAGATATTATCTCTTCATTGCGCCAAAGGCCCTAATTATGCTCAGATGCACCAGATCACATCTGGGGCCAAAGGTACAGCAAAGTTCCAAAGCAGTTTCGCTGTTATAATTTTTGTCTTCCCGAAGAAGAAATAATCAAGTTTAATGATGCATACACCTATGACGAGATGGCTACTTTTTAACAGTCGCAAAATGGAGGTGCTCCAAAGTCAACCCACCCAGCCCCTACTTATTTCACCTCCACGCCTCGGCATCCAGATTTTTTATCGGTCCCTGATCATCTCGGAGGACCACGGCCATTTCATACGCTCTTGGCTGCATACTGACCCATATATCACCGACTCCCTGACTACCTCGAAGGTTTTGAGCCCGTCTGGACATTTCGCAACTGAGGGAAGGTCGATCTTGCTGTTCCGTGCGCTTGTATCGTCCGGGTGCTTGCCTTGAGACGCCTTCAGACGCCTTGCTTGTCCTCGGGAATGCGTTCTGTCTGCGCCCCAGTTCCGAGCCATCAACGTTTGGCGGCCATTCCACCATCGCTGACACGGTCGGCTGGATCAGCGTCTTGACGTCATAGTCCACGGCGATTCAAGCCTACAAGCCCCTAATCCTCTCTGGATCTGTGCGCTGGATCGGCGTCTTGACGTCATAGTCCACAGCGATTCAAGCCTACAAGCCCCTAATCTTCTCTGGATCTGTGCGCTGGATCGGCGTCTTGACGTCATAGTCCACAGCGATTCAAGCCTACAAGCCCCTAATCTTCTCTGGATCTGTCCGCTGGATCGGCGTCTTGACGTCATAGTCCACGGCGATTCAAGCCTACAAGCCCCTAATCTTCTCTGGACCTCTGCGTTGGATCGGCGTCTTGACGTCATAGTCCGCGGCGATTCAAGCCTACAAGCCCCTAATATCCTCCGGGCATGTTGGTTCGGAATCACTCCGGCATCCCTCCGGCGTCGGTGGGTAACTTGAAATCTTCATATCCCCATAGCGATCGTGCGCTTTCGGACCCCCAAGGCCATCTCAGCTATTCGAGGCCTTTGTCCGTCGCAGCTCGCTGAGCGTTTATGCATTCCGACCACTTTGAATGTTGGTCGATCAGCCGTATATTTGGTATCTGCACTTGACAGACGGACTTTTAAGCGAAATGCTCCATATTTGAAAACATCGAGACGAACATCAGACATGATGAAATAAGCTCACCGATAACGAATGCCATACTTTAAATATTGAAAAGATTTGAACTTTAAATTTGAAAAGACTGCTCCAAGCTAAACAAAGTCTCTATTGAATAAATATTCTCCTTAATACGTCATTGCTTTATTGTGTCATCGTACCTTGTACGACATTGATTGAGAACCAATTTACGGCAGTTTTGCATCGAAATCGCGCCCACGAATGCCGTATATCAACGACTAGAAAGTTACGTTTTATCAGCCTTAACGGCCGCCTGGCCGATGGAACGGCAGAATTTGAATGACGTTATTATGATGTCATGAATACCTGAGTGACCTGAAAATAGCCTGCATGAAATAGGCTGCAAATGTTCATGAGTGCGTAGCTAAGAAACTAGAAGGGATTGGGTCTTAAGAATGGCAGGGCTGTAACCTGCACCAAATGATCTTCAACATGGCTATTTCGGTTCAAAATTCCATACAAATGTGGGAAACTCCCTTTAATAACACGCAGGACGTCTTGTGCGTCGTAGAACTAGCAAACCCACAGCGCAGGAAAAATTGGCAGTTGTAATCAAGTCGATGGTGTACAAAACTTGACCAACGAAGGAGGAAACCTACGACCATCCATACAAACAGGTTTGAGCAATGCGTTTGAAGGTCTCCAATTCGTAAGAATTTAGCGAGCGTAAGTACACTGATGTCAAACTGAGTCGATACCGACGCACCCGCAGCAGGTTATGGTCTTGGCAACGGTGCCACAAGTATGGTGAAAAGGCGAGTATTTGGATGCATATTTGTCACAACCAGCAGGGCTATTTCGGTTTACACCGCAGGATGTCGTATCCAAGATAGGTTCCATAAATGGTGATGTTCGTCTTGTTACAGCCAATTGCTGTTACAACCTGTGCGTCAGGCAGTGTTTAGACGTGCTGGCGAGTTGCAGAGGCTACATTATCCTACACCGCACACTTGGTGTCGTGTCTCCTCTTGCTCTGGTCACTAACATCTGACATCAGCCCTAAAAGCTGAGACGGCCGGATTTAGCACCTGCGCATGAAAACGCGTGCCCGTGTACACAGACCAAACTAATCTTTTGCCAACACGATTGCTCATTTTCTGCTCCATCAGAATCACTCAACTTCACAGTGTTGCGACGCTCCGTCAAGATCTAAGCCCAGTTTCGACACATGATCTTCAGGTTTTTGGTAAGTTTAGAATAATGCCTTTTCTTAGTTAATCCAACGGAGGAGGCCTAATCGTGGCACCGTTCCAATATTTCAGGAAAACCCGTCTGATCCAGCAGCTTGTGCGTCATTGTATAACAAGC